GAAAAAGCGGCGCTTCGATAACGAAGCTGTCGATCTACCCAGACCACGAGGCACGCCATGCGGCTAGCGAACTCACCGAGAAGCATATGACAGAGTGCGTAGATGCACATGTGAAGATAATCTGTACTTTTCTCAAGCCCCAGATGATCTGGGGGGGATGCCCCTCTCCACATCACCACGCGCGTCGCACCGCGGGGGGGGGGGGGGGCGTGCACTCGCTCACACGTGCACGCGCCCACGGCGCCTCGCTCGCGAACCTCGCCGCACAGCACTCGCAGGGCCCTCGATATCCTCCGAACTTTTTTCTGTTGATTTGCACGCATTGCCATCGGCCAGCAAGCTCAGCCATGGCTGCGCTCAGGCAGCGGCGCGAACCTCGGGCCAGAGCGCTTCCACTTCTAAGTGCACGGCGCCTCGTTCTGCTTGCCCACGTATTGCTTCGCGTCGCTCTCGGACTCCGCAGCCACCAGCGCAGTCTTTGTTAGCTTCTCGCTGCTGCCCTTGCCCATGCCGTGGCCCTGGCGCGACGCCTTCGGCTCGACCCTCAGCGCGCCGCATTGCGCGCCGCACGGCGAGCGCAACGCGAACGTGATCAAACAACTCGCGCCCGCGATGTGGATCGCGCAGCGTGGCCGGCAAGCCTTGCTTCGCCCAGCTCGCGCTGGAACTCGCGGCGCAGGCCTCCAGCTCCTCGTGCTTGTCCATATCGCTGCAGCCCACGATCCCAGCCAGCGCCATCAGGTACTCGAACCTCGCGAATGGGCGCGCCTTCGTGCCCAGGTCGGCCACGTGATTCCCCCCGCTCTCCTTTTCCACGGCCAGCCCGCTGCACTTTCGCCCTTGCTGCATCCACAGCGCTGTCGAGTCTCAGCACTTACCCTCCCCGACGCCCTCGCGATGTATCATGGCCTTCGCCGCGCTGCTATCCATCGCCAGCTGCCGCGCCACCTCGTCGCCAGCCGCCCCATCGCGGTCTTGACGAGCTCCCCATCCATAACCGCCGTCGTCGCACCGTGGAACTCCGCTTCTTCTGGCGACCTAGTCTGGGCCCCCTGGCGCCTCGAGAGCGCAGCGAAATGCGCCCCGTCCAGCTGCGCGATCCCGCGCGTCGTCGCCCTCTCGCGGTCTTGCAAGTCGCGAAGTCCATGCCCGCGCGCGTCGCCAGCTTGACTTCGCCCGGTTTGCTCGCAACTGGCCTCGCGAGTAGCGCGCAGTGGGTCTGGGCGCCCTGCAGGTGCCGCGCGAGCTGCACCAAGCGCCCCCAGTCGAACTCTGCGGGCCGGGGCAAACCCCCGGCCGGCAACTGCGCGCCTCTGTGGACGTCGGCCCAGTCGGGGGAGATGTAGAGCGAGACCCCGGATCCGCTCTTGAACTTCGCCGTCTCGATCTCGTCCAACTCGCGCCCCAGCTCGGCCCCGCCGGGCTCGGCACTTTCGCAGGCTTCGCCTTCTCCGACCCAGTCGCGTAGATTAGGTCCTCGATGCGCTTCGCGCTCGGGCTCGCCATCGCGCCGCCGCTCATGAACCTGGGCCGATCGCGCTTCAAGTGCGCGCGGCGCGCCTGCCTGATCACGTCCGCGGCCTGCCACCTCGCGCAGCCGCTCGACGCCCCCGCCCAGGTTCTCGATGAGACCCTCGCCGTGGAAGTCACCCATGCGAATCTCGATCAGGACCTCCGTCTACTCGTTGCAGATGAACTGGGGGTGGCACTCGCAGCGCTCGAACCCCTCGCCCTCGAGTGTCTCCGCCGCCTGGTCAACCCAGCCAGCGCCTGCCATGCGCTGTCCTGGGGGCATCTTGTTCGGTCCTTAAGCGATGTCCGTCGGCCTGGCCAGCTCCGCTCAGATCGCCAGGTACCCCGCAGGTGGCTCCGCGCACGCCCACTCGGCCTGGTCGGCATGGCGGTAGGCCTCAACGCCATCCGCGGCGAGGGTCCCCGACGCTGATGAAGCCCGCCAGCCTGCTCGTCAATGCGGACAAAGGCGCTGCGAAAGCGTCGCCCCGCCTCTCCATATACTTGAACCCCCGGGATCTCTTGAAGCGCCCCCTCCGGGAACCCGGCGCCGAGGTCCGGCGTTGGGAGCAAGTGCGGCGCTGCTCGTCCTATTTCATCGAGGGTCCCATCCTGCGCGGCTGAGATGCCCCGGGACAAAAACTCGGATGGGCGGCTCGAGCACGAGCGCCCGTCCTGGCCGACGGCTGGCCATGGCATTCATGAGCGTCGCCGGGGCAAGTGGCGGACGCCACCTCGACTTTCCGCCGCCCCAACATGGCGCGGGGGCAACGGAAGAAGACCAGCGCTGACCACCGCGATGTCGCGGTCGGCTCCAAACGCGAGCAGCTGGCACGGCAGGCGCCGGTCACCTGTCCTCCTCCTTGTTTCCTTTGGAGCCCGAAGGGCCCTTATGCTTTTCCTCCTCCTCCTCATGGTGCAACCTCTGCTGTTTCATGGCGAACGCCTTCGACCTGTCGCCCTCCGCCGCCCACCTCGCGAACTTCCCCGTCAGCGCGCCGCCCGTGGACTCGAGCGTTGCCATGGCCATGAGAGACGCCCCCTTGAACTCGAGAATTTTGGGGCTGCGGGCCACCGCCTGGTGGATCTGATGCACGAGCCGAGCGCGCATCTCCGCTCCCGCGAGCTGGCCTGCGTTCAGCTGGTTGAACGCCACGAGGTGGTGGAGCACCGAAAGCAGGTCCACGTGCTCGAGCGCCGCCGCGCTGTCTGGGCTGACGCCCGACGACCTCGCCCAATGCTCGTAGAAGCCCGGCAGGTCCGCGCTGGCTGCCCGCGCCGCCGCGAGCACCGCCTGGATCGCCTACGGCCTAGTAAACGGTCAGTCCGCTGGCGGCGGGTCCGGCAGGAAGCTCATCTCGGCGATCGCATCCTTCAGCCTGGCGAAGCGGGCCCGGCCCATGTCCCTCTGGATCGGCAGGGTGCGAGCATCTCGGCCGCGGCCGCTGATCTCCTCCGCGCGCCAGTTCTGGAAATCCTGGGCCGCCAGCCGCTCCGCGAAAGTCAAAGGCCGTTCGCCGTCGTCGTCAACCTCGGCCAAGCCCGCACCATCTCTGATCACCATGCGGAGCGCATTCCAGGTGATCTCCACCTGCGCGACCTGCCCGAACTGCTCGCACGCGGGGCCCGCGAAGCGCCACTCCGCGATTAGGGCCTGGCCACCAGGCTGGCCCGCAGGGGCGGCTGCTCCCGCGAGGCGGTGGACGTCCGCCAGCGCCGCCGCCTCCTGACGGGTTGCCTGCAGCGCCGCTTCGTCGAACCGGTCGCTCCCGTAATCCCCGCAGGGCGCGCCTCGGGCGACTGGCACCGCGATGTGCCGCGAGAGGCCGAGCACCAACACCACCTCGAGGTCCGGCGACAGGGCTATCCATCGGAGGTCGTCCAATCGATGCTCGAGGGTGCGAACGTGCCGACGGAAGTTGGGGTCGTACTCGAAGTTGATGGCCGCCATCATTTCGTGGATGTCGGCAACTCGCCCCATGGCTCCCGCCTGGCGCCTAGCGTCAGCACGCAGCTCGGCGGCGCCTCGACCTCCAGGCTGCCGAATCGCCCGCACCTGGCGACTCGAAGGCAACCGAACCCGAGGAGGGCACCCAGGACGACGACGGCCCAGGCGGCGCCACCGCGGGCAGGGCGGATGCGCGGTGGCTGCCAACTGGGTGCCCGGCCTCCAGCGCCGCGAGCGGCGCCCCGCTGCGGCGCTACGGCCGCCTGCAGCCGGCGCTCAGCCGGCCGAGAAGGAACGCGAGCGGCAGCAGCCCCCAGCCGCTGAACGCCACCGAGAGCGACCAACCCTCGCCACAGGACGCCGATGAGGCAGCCGGGCTCTCTGGCGACGGTGTCCACACAGGCGCGCAGCTGCACACCACCGCCGGGCACTCCGCCGCGCGCTCTGGGCACGGCGCGCAGCCCAGCGAGCAAGCTGGGCAGACGAGTCGTGGCTCGCACACGCACAAGTGCTCATCGGGAGCAGGGGCTCGCGATAGCCACCCTCCGAGCGAAGCCGCCGCGATCTCGCCCGCGAAGGAAGGGAGATGCACAGCAACCCAGACCATGTAGGCCTGAAGATCGAGAAAATCATTGCAGAATCACGAGGATGGGGGATATAATGTGCAGGCACTACTTCTGTTTATACATGTCTGCATTGGCGTTTCGCGGCATGCACCTGTGTCTTTGACTTCGGGACGCAGGCAGACGGACAGGAAAACAACAAAAACATTAACGATAACTCCTTGTTGTCTTGTTCGACATCGTCATTATACTAATGTTAATCATTATCCTTCGGTGATGTTCCCTATTCCTCTTCCTTCTCGCGCTGACCTGCGAATTCTTCCTCAAACATCCTCATCTCTTTTTGCGGAGGCTCCTCCTTGGATACCCTCAAAATAACCTCACGAACATGTTCAAGGATTTCTTGGGTCGTTCCGGAAGCCTCCTGAACGGCTTCTGCGGGCCTGAAAGGCTTTCTCGTGCCACCTGCCGAAAACCGCGGTCTCCCTGAACAACCGGGTTACGATTTGAAATGCTTCGGGGGGCGTCTTGGGGCCATCTTGGGCGCTCATGAGGCTCTCATCGGGCCATCTTGGGGCCCTGTTTGGTCGTCTTGGGGCTCTCTTGGACTGCCTGGAAGCCCCTTTGGGTAATGATGGAGCGATTTCCGAACCTCCTGGGCGGTCTCGGACACTCGGGCGACAGTCTGGTGGGTGTCTGGGGCCTTTTGGACCCTCGCGGGGCCGTTGGACCGCCCTCCTGACCGATTTGAGCCCGTAGCCTAGGCCCAACACGGGCTTCCGGAAGCCCCAGAAAGCCTGGGGGAGCTTCTGCAAGGCCTTCCAGGGGGCCCAGAGAGCCACGGATACTGGAGGCTCCGCTTTGGGCGAATAGCATGTGTAGATGTACAAGACAAAAGAGAGAGCGCGAAATGGGGAGAGGCATAGAGAGTAAAAGAGAGAGAGAGAGAGAGAGAGACAGAGCGAGAGAGAAGGGACCATCCAAATGCAATGGCGCGCAGGCAACGTGAGCAAGTCCACCACGCCGGAAGCCTGCCGCGCTTCAGCACGACTGCACAAAATCAGATGAGCTCTCTCACAGTACTACGAATGTGCGACTCATTCGCGCACTGCCGATCATGGGACTCTGCAACCGCACCGTTTCGAGCAATTCACTCTGCGTAGATACGAAAAATAAAGAACAAATGTCTGTGAAATTCGCAGTCGTACGCCAGCTGATGCTTCACGGATTGAAGGCTGAAATTGCGAATCAAAAATGCTCCAAATGTCTGCTTCGCCTTGCCTGTTTCTCGTTGCTTCTGACTGCACTGTCATCCCCGATCCAACCATCTTTGAATAACCGCAAGAACCGTTTGTTTAAGACCCCCCCCTTCCGGTGAAACGATAACGCTTCCGGCACCCTGGAAGCGCTACCTCGGCACCGGGAGGCGCCCCCTGGATTCCAATGGGGTCCAAATCGGCTCACCATGTGATGGCACTAAGAGCCCCATGCGTCGTCGTCGTCGTCGTCGCCGCGGCCACCGCCGCCGCCGTCGTCGTCGTCGGCGTCGTGGAATCCTGTTGGAGATCCGATGTTATTCGAATCCTGCTGGAATCCTATGGGAGTCATACTGTATTGGAATCCGATTGGCATTTCACTGGAATCCTGATGGGATTCCCGCTATACTGAAATCCTATCCACGTAGGATTCCAATAGGACCCCAACAGAATACAATACAGTAGGATCCCACTGGTGTTCCAATAGGCTTCTAACTGGATTCAGCGAGGATTACAACACAGTACAATACAATAGGATTCCAAATAGGACTTCTATGGTATGCCAATCGGATTTCCATCTGAGGCCAATGTGATTCCAATAAGATTCCAATAGGACTCCAATCCAATACAATACGATCCCAATACGAATCCCACCAACCCTCTGGGCGTAGGTGGTTCCGGAAATTTCCTCTGCCACCCCTCCTTCTTCCCCTTGGGGAGGGGATTACCCCTCCCCCTATCCCCCTCCCCTGGACCTGGACGGGGGGGGCCGCTGGTAGTTAGAGCGTCTAAGACGGCCTCGGCGAGGAAGCCAAAATCATCGGTTTCACCATGGTTTCGGCCCCATTTTGGCCTCTTGGGGGGGCAGGGCTAATTAACTCCACCCTGTTCTTTGATCGATCGTTTCCAAGATGGCCCCAAAGGGCGCCCAGGAGGCCCCAAGCGGCCTCCAAGAAGCCTCCCAGAGGCCCCTAGAAACCCCCAACAGGCTCCAAGAGGCTCCCAGGATGGTTCCAAGAGGCCTCCAAGAGGCTCCAAGAGGCCGCCATGAAGCTCCAAGAGACCCCCAAGAGTCCCCAAGAGGCTTCCAACAGGCCCCCAAGAGCCCCCCAAGAGGATCCCAAGCGGCCTCCCGGGGCCCCCCCGAAGCACCCAAGACGCCCAAGAGCCCCCATTGACTGCCAAGAGACCCCCGAGACGCCCGAAGAGGCTTCCAACAGGCTTCCAAAAGGCATCCGAGCGGCATTCAACCATCCACCCAGCGTCATCATTCTCCTCGTCCCTCCTTCGCTCGGTTCCTCGCCACCCCCTCATCTATCCGTCTGGCCTCCTCTTCCGCCTCATCCTTTGCACGGATCGGCTGTCCCTCTCGTTGCCCCCCCACTTCCCTGATCTCTTCAACTTGCCTGGACATCGTTTCTGGATGGGCTGGTGGGGATGCGCTTTTTTGGATTCGCGGCCCGCAAGGAAAAGTCCAGAGGGCGGTGTGAACGAGGCTGGGGCACAGCGCACGGGAATGCAAATAATTAACGGCGCAGGACAAAAGCCGGCCGAGGAGGCAACCGCGAAGGCGCCAGCTGAAGCCCGGGCGCCACCACGCGACCACCCAAAGCCGCTGAGCGTGCGCCAGCAGCAGAAAAGTAACAACGCTGGACGTGTGCCAGCAAAAGAGGCAACTGAGAAGATACCAGCTGAAGCCCTGGCGCCACCGCGCGGACCCCAGAAGCCGCTCAGCGCGTGCCAGCGAAAGTGGGGAGGGCGGAAAGGCCAGACCCGCAGGTGGGGTCAGACTGTCAGGCGGAACGTGCCAAAACCACTCACTCACTTGGAACGTAGACCAGACTGTGCGCCGCTGAGGGGGTCGGGTCAATGCCTGGAGAAGGCCGACCACAAAGGAGAGCGCCCGCGATGGCCTTTGGTACCAAGGCGGTGCGCGGCTTGCGCACCCAGAAGGCTCTCCTGTGGCAGTAGCCAACGTCTAACACAAGCGTCAGAACGGTGCCTTGACCGACGTCCGTGTCCGCCGATGCCGACAAGCGGCCGACCGTACTGTCAACGCGCCCATGTGAAAGGGGGGTCAGAAGTCGCCGCCCCTACGGGCGACGAAATGGAAGCCACTGCATGTTGCCGACTCCAAAGAATGGGCACCCGGAATGGCTGAGGCCAGCGTCCGGTGCGTCCCGGCCCGCATACGTCGCGGAGCATGCCGAGGGCGGGCGAAGCGCCTTGAGCGAGCCCTCTCGGAGCACCACGGGCCGCCGCTGCGGCCAAACCGACGGCGGGATTATTGCAGCCGGCCGAATGGGCTAAAAAGGCCCACGAGAACGCAGGAACTATCGCGGTGGTGGGGGGGTACCTCAACCCCAGGAGGTAACATCAGCCCGCCCCAGTGGCCCACTGCATCGGTGAAACGTGTCCTGTCGCTGTCTGCCGACAGGTGCGGCCGCCTGGTGGTGACTCAGTGGCCCTGGGGCCCACGGCGACTCATCCTCCTTCGGATATTGCTTCCCTGAGGCGACGAGAAAGGGGGGTTAGCAGCCGATAGCCGCAGTCATGAGTGCAGAAGCAATGGCGACGAGAAAGGGGGTCAGCAGCCGATGGCCGCGGAATGACAGACAGCACGTGGCGACGAGGGAAGGGGAGTGCAGCCGATGGCCGCGGAACTGGAGAGCGTGGCGAAAGGCCAGGGTGAGCGGCCTGAGCCGCAGGACATCGTCTGGGGTGGGAACGTCCTAGAAGGAGCCCCACGGTACACGTGCGCGGCAAATCTTCCGCGAAAGGGGGTCACGCGTTGTCCTGGCAGCCCGACGCCGCACGGCTCATGGTGGCTCTTGCAGGGCCGGCCTCGCCCTAGTCGGGGGGCCCCTGCCAGGCCCTCTGCCGGTCTACCAGCGCGCGAGCTCCCATCCACGCTGTCGCTTGTCGGCGCATTGCTCGTCACTTTTCGGGGCGGTCCTTTTCTCCCCGCTCCCCCGCGAAGCACCCCTCCAAGAGCTATCCTGGTGGCCCCACCCTTCCCATCGCGGCCTTAGGCGCCATGGGGCTCCAGAGCTGGATGCCCCCGACCAGGTAGTCTCCCTGTCGGTGTACGCTGGCGGGGCGGCTGCGCCGTCTCTGGGCCTGCTCCATGGGTGCTGCTGCGCAGCCCCGCTGTATGTGCTGGAGGGTTGGGTCTGCTCGTGGTGACTTGCCCTGTCGGGTGGGACAGGGGGGGTGGGTGCTGTCCTTCTGTCGGACCAAGGGCATGGGTTGCCCTTGTTTTTTTCTCCCTTGGACGCGCTGGCCCTTGCGCTGCGACGCAGTGGGCTACGATATTTCTCAGCGACCTTTTGCCATTCAACACGGAGATGGTGGTGTCTCACCAACTTGTAGGCGCCGTAGCCCGCGGCTTCCCGCGCCCGCAGGAATTCTTCGCACCTCTCCCTTGTGCCCCCCCTGGGGTCCGAGTGGATGTCGACCCACGGTAGACCCTGCAGGCTGCCTGCCCTGCGAACCCATCCTATCCACGCCCCGTTGAATGCGCCCCCGAGTGCTTCTGTAATCTGGTGACTTTCTCTTGGGCTGGCTCGTCCCTCTGGATGTCGGCCTCGTCGATGGACCTCGTGCACATGGGGGGCCCTCCTAGGGGGTCGTCTTGATGTGGAGGTGGGAATGGCTCAGCCTGTGGGCGCGGCCGTCTCTCTGGGCTGCTGTCCTGCCGGGGGCTGGGCGCCTGGCGGGTCTCGTGCGCTGGGGCTGCGAGCTTCTGGATAGTCTCCTGACTGCAGTCTGGCCAGCTCCCTTTCCCTCGTAGTTTCCTTTGGTCAGCCCTTTTGTCACGGATTTCTTCCATGTCCTCTCGGAAGCGGGCCGTCGCGCGAGGCGCCCGATTGGCAGCTTCCTCCTTGTCGGGGGGGACTGTCCACAGCGCTGTCCGCTTGAGGGAGCCGTCTCTGCCGCTGGGGCCGCTGATTTCGGTTTCCTCGTCCTGCTGCGGGGGGCTGTCGACCATGGGGACCGCCCTCTCTGGATTGTCCTCATCCCAGTCTACCTCGAACGGATTATCGCCGTCACCGTGGGGGTCCCTATCCGAAGATGTAGCCTCATTTATCTCCTTCGTCGCTTTTGTGACCCCTGGGGGCTGCTGGCTGAGGTCATCACCGATGGTGTGGCCGCCCGAGGCTGGAGGGCGCTTGTGCCAGGCAGCGGCGGGGGAGTGGTCTCCGGCGTCGTTGCTGCTCCGGGCGCTGTGCTCGCCAGCGAGGAATTCCAGCGTTCCCCCTGCGAGATCGTCCTTCCTGAGGGATAAGAAGCGGTGCAGCGTTTCCAACGGCTGCTGCCAGGGGTCTTGCCCTCTTTGGCAGTCGAGCGCGGCCGAGAAGGCGCGCCAGTCCTCCTAGAACTTCTCATTACTCCCAACCAGCTGCGCAATGGCATTGGCTGCTGCAGCTCTATGGCCGTCCCACGGGATGTGAAGGGGGGGGCCATTCTCGGGGATCTGGTCACCGTAGATGGAGTGGAAGAGGCGCAGCAACTGGTTGTGAGGCCAGTCGGATACCTCGCTGTCTTCACCCACTTTGTCTCCAACCCTTTCCCCACCGAAAGTCGACCAACGGATGTATACCTCATGGTCCCATTCCAGCAGGAACTTCACAAGTTTGCGCACTGGCCTGTACGACTGCTCTCCCTCCAGGCGGAGGGTCGTGTGCGTGGGCAGCCGGGGAGCGTTGGGAGGAGGGAGCGCAGGCAGAGTGCACCCGAGTGTAGCATTGTCCTTGGGACTCCTCACCGACCGCGCCTCGTCCCCCTCCTCAGCACCTTCGCTAGCCACATGGGGACAGGGCTGGGGGGGTAGATCACGTTGGAGTATGCGTCCAGCACCTTGTTGAGAGTGCTGGGTG